CAGAAGCTCCTGAGACCAAGCTTGCAGCAACCAGCAACAGAAACAGCAACCTGGGACAGGAAGGGGTGATACCACCTTCCTCCCAGAAGCTCTTGAGAGTGAGTCACCCAGAGCTGCTCACCAGGGAAGCTTTTTATTCTGCTGGAGTCAGCACAGGTGCTGCCCCCAAACTCTAGCTCCTTCCAGATCTGCAGCCAGAGGGAGCTGGACAGTGTCAGTTTTTGCTAAGCAGCACAACTTGACCCACATCAAAATGTATGTTCAGGCATGTGTGCTGAAGCATTAATCTCTGGCACAAATTTGTGCCACTGTTATTTGAGCTGCTTCAAGCACATGTGCCTGCATGTGTGAATGTGGCCTTAGAGACTAACTGGTTTCTAGACTGAAGAGGGGAACATAAAGGGCAAGAAGTTGATCATGTGGCTTGGACTAGTTAATGACAACCCCTAATTTGTACTCTAAGTAGCAGCAGTCATAACCACTCTATGAGGCACATTACACTTAAGATATAATTAACCAGTTAGTAGCATCTTAAATTGTAACCCAGCCACACGTTAAAGTAATTAATGGCATCATAAAACAAGGAATAAGCCTCAAAATTATTCCACAAAAATGTGTAATAACCTATCAAACCGTTAACTGAATATATGGCCCATGGCTGAGTCCCATCAGTTAAGGGGGCTCCCAGACACAGGCGCCTGCTACTTGCCAGTGCAGGGGGAGCCCAGAATCATGATCTTGGGTTTCCCTGTACTGAGAATAAGGTGAGGTGGGATATGATGTTTCATCCCACAATCATGCCTCCTGCAATTCACATGTACCAAGTGTATGACAGGAAGCACAATGTGGCATAGCAGGAAGCACAATTGTAGTGAGCCTGGAACTACCTCATAAATCCATCAGACTCTATTTTTAATCTGAGTGAATCACCAAGAAAGTTTAGCAATGCAGACAGCAGAGCTCCTTGGGATTAAATGTAGCTCATTTGATGTAGTTTTCCCAGTAATCTAATTAAAAAAGTAAACTCAGGAGGATCTGGACATCATCAATAAATAAATAAATAAATAAGCCCCCACACAATGGAATGTCCTGATTGTAAATCTGGGAATTTTTCTTTTTTTTAAATGATCTGCTTAACCCTACTATTTTAAGAGACGTGTAGAACATGGACCATCTGGACTGCTGGGTCTAGAATGACCATTAGGTAGTCTGTCTACTAGCTAGGAGTGCTTCTAATTTGAAACAGATAATTCATTTTTTGTAGTTTATAAGTTTGCATGTTGGCAACCCTTAAATCAATATTTAATCATGTTTGTTTGCTGATCTAGTCCTTCTTAAGCAGGGAACAGGCTAACTACTGCTCTCAGTCAGCAACTCTTCATAAAATAATTTCAGACAATATGTTTACTTCTTATACAAAGATTCATTCTTTTACTATGTTTGCTTTTTATTGCATTCTCTCAGTTTGTATCCTGAGGTATTTATGAGATTTACCCAAATTCAAGGTAATTTTGAAGACAACCACACAGTAATTAGACTCTATACATGGAAATCATTGGTTGGGAACAAGCAGCCTGACCCCCATCTTTGGTTCCCCCCACTTGCCCTCCACTGCTGCCTGTCCATCCTCTGCCCAAAAGCCCTGCTGCTTGCCCCCCGTGATGCCTGCACCCCCACCACCTGTCCCTACCTGACAGTGTCTACACGCTCTGCCACCATCTGTTGCTTACTGTTTGACAGTGGTCTGGCACCATTCTTCCTGGGGTACAGAGCACAGGGCAGCTCCAGCCCTGTACCAGCCACACAGCAACAGCAGTTGCAGCAGCAAGAGCTCTGGCCCCAGGACACTGGAGCTGCTGCCACAGGGCAGGAGGCTGCCATTGCTGTTGCATGCTGCCCCCTACTCCTCACCAGGTAACCCCTACTCACCCTCACACACTGATTCCCTGACTGCACCCTGAACCATGCTACCCTTCTCCCCACCACCCAACCACAGTTCCAGGCTTACCCCTGCTAACTCTGCACTCCTCCTATCCTGGCACAGGCGTCCAAAGAAACCTTCCTGTGACCCAGAAGTATTACAGTAAGTGTGGGACAAAGCAGAAGCAGCATCGCATTGCTGAAAGAACTCTCCCTTCGGGGTACTGTGCTCCTACTCACAAATCAAGTGATGCTTCAGTACTCTTGTCTGTTGGAGCTTTAATCAGCCTGCCACTGCTTAGTGTAGTTACTGATGGCTAAGGGTTTTTTACAGACTTTACTGACAGCCATTTTTAGATGCTGCTTCTTTTTTTAACTGAAAGTCATTACATTTACTGACAGTTGGAAGTTCTGTCTCCAACATACACAATTCCATTTCCTTTCCCCTGTTCTCCATCTAATCGTGCACTGCCAGACAGTAGTATAACTAAGGATTGGCAACCAGGGCACCAGATCCAACTGCAAACTTAGAGGGAGTTCAAAAACATCCACTGCCATTGCTCCTATTTTGGTCACACTTGTACCATCACCCTTGCTAGCGCTGCCACCCAGGATTCAGAACCATCTTCGTATACCTGTACTGCCATATGCAAACAGTGCATGTAGTGCTACTAGTGTCCAGATCCTATTTACCCTTCACATGTTTAGGTGCTGGGTAGGTAGCTGCATAATTGCCATGTTTGGCAGTTATGCACTATTTGCAATTCAGCATTACCCATGCTAACCTACTGATCATGTTGTTCAGCTGTCCAGGGCAAATAGTATTGCATAGGTACACATGTAAATTCAGGTAAGTCCTCAATCTTTAGTTAGGACTTTGCTACACATTAATTTTAGGTGGCTCAGGGAGCTGTTAACCCTGAGATTATCCACACATTAACGTGAAGCTAGATTTAAGTCCTCATTATGCAGCTCAAAGTTATGACACTCCAGGGCAGGATTATTTGTGATCCATGCCACCCAAATCATATTACACTAAGATGCAGCCCCCTCTAGGCTAGACTTAGTGTAAAGAACTCACCTGTCCCTGCTGGCCCAGATCAGGCCCACTGCCCCCTGCCCTGTCCTGTGCTGTCACTTCTGAGCCTGGGTGGGCTAGCCTGGAGCAGGCAGAGGGTGCACAGGGTAGGAGTTGTGCTTGCAGGTCTCTTGCATGGGGCTGGGGCTGGGGCTGGGGCAGCAGTGGCAGCAGCCAGAAGGAGCTGCTGCCATCTGGGCTACCTAGAATGACAGTCCAGATGAGAAGCTGCCCCAGCTCTGCTGAATGCCCAGCAGGCAGCAAGATGTGCCACGGGCAGATAGTGCCTGGTACGGCTGTGCAAAGCTTCTGGAATTTGGCCCAATTCAGTGGCTGAATCTCCAAATCCGAATCAAATTGACAGACCAGTAAAAAAGTTTGAATCAATTCAAAGCCTCCAAATCAATTCAGAAAAGATTCGGATAAAGATTCAGAGTTTCAGTGATTTGGGCAGTCCCCGCTCATCGCTGCAGGGAGATGGACCTGGTTTCTGTGCCGGTAAGTAGGGGGCAAGTCGGGGTATAGGAGGGGGGAGGGGACCATGGTGGGAACCCCACCAGGCCCCATCCCCTTGCTGCTCCCCCAGCCCCCCTGAGCATGCCCCAACCCCTGTCCACTCTATCAGTCCCATCAATGGCTGCCCTACCCAGCCCAGTGTCCCGGCACTTAAAAAAAAAAAAAAAAAAAAGCCCTCCCCCCCCTGGCTCCTCCCCACTCGTGGTGATCCCCACTGCCCTCCACTGCCCTGCGCTGCATGGGGGATCTTCCATGAGCCCCCATCTCTGCCTGCTCTCCCAGCCCCACCCAGCCTCAGCATCCCAGCTCTTAAAAAAAAAAAAGCCCCACACTCACCTGCTGCTGCAGCAGATGTCAGGGCTTCTAGAGGCTTGTGGGAGAGCCCCCCCATGCAGCACAGGGCAGTGGGGTGCAGCGGGGGTTGCCCCCCCACCTGGCAGGAGCGTGGGGCTTTTTCTTTTTTTTTGTAAAGAGTTGGGATGCTGGGGCCAGGTGGGGCAGCCATTGACAGGGCTGGGAGAACAGGCAGGGAATGGGGCCTGTTTGATTCAGAGATTCGGCTGATTCAGTGGCAGCTGCATCTCTGAATCAGATTTGGCCAAATCGATTCGGGACAGTGATTCAAATTACCAAATCAAATCACTGTCCCCTGAATCAGCCGAATCCAAAGTGAATACTAGCCGCTTTGCACAGGCCTAGTTCCTGGGCCAGGTGGGACTGAGGGACTCATCGCAGGCTGGACAAAGACTGGATCTGGCCTCTGGGCTGTATTTTGCCCACCCCTAGAATATACAGTAGGTAACCATTGATCCTCTGGATCATGGTGTACATGTAAGAGGTTTAGTCACCAAGACCTTCAATGCATCTGCCTAGGCAAGAGTATGAAGGAGTGGAGGCTGCCCAAGACCTACCATCCTTTTCTTTAGACCACTGAGACAGAATCCAAGTCCATACATTCAGGGTACTTTTACATGTGCCTGGGGTATGAGGTTTGGGGCTGCACTTTAATTAGAGGGGCTCCAGGAGCCCCTCTAATTAAAGAACCACCGTGCCTCAGGTATCAGCATCCCTGTCCTTCAAAATGGTGCTGAGGGCACTTGAAATAAAGCTTTCTCACCATTTGAAGTCTGCTGTAATGACAGCATGTCAGAGCAGCCTCGCTGCTTGTGTATAGGCATGTATAGGTTTTCTCTGTTGCCACTGAATATGTCTAGTATCTATGGCAAGAAGATATGCATTTACTGAGAACTTTTATAATCTGGGATTTTGAATGCTGCATGAGCTGTCTATTAAGTTGTACTTAGATGGACCTCTTTAATCACTATAATACTGAGCCGCCCAGAAGGACAAAGATTGGATACCCTTAGCTGTGGCCCAGTCAGGTAAAACACACAGCTTCCTGTAGCTGGTGCTGACTTACTTTCTGGACTTCAGTGTCTTTCTTGCTGCTGGGAAGAGTCCAAGACCTAGGATATGCAATGTATATATGTTATTTGTCTCTTTGCAGCACCCTTACCCAACAGAGGATGAGAAAAGGCAGATAGCAGCACAGACAAACCTGACACTTTTGCAAGTCAATAACTGGTGAGTTAATAGGGGTTCTGGGAATTTTCCTGCTTTATTGGTTATTAAACTGTTGTATCACCTCTTAGTGCCCTTCCCGAGACTGATATTTAACACATGGGTAGCAAGATGCTGATTAAGTTCCTCAGGCACCTACTACTAGTGGCTACTTCTCAGAACAATACAGAAATAAGAATGAAAGGAAAAGGGCCTTTTCTATCTTTTTTTTTAGGTGGTGTATATAAATTATAGATTAAGTAAAAATAGCTCCTAAACAAAAATGGGGAAAACAAGTGCAATAGTGCATGGCAAAGCTGTGTGCAGCATGGCCTGGAATAGCTGATAAAGCTACAGATGTACATTCTAAGGCATTTGCAAAGTTAAAATTAAAACGTGTATTTAATTTATCCATTGTTTATATTTATTTTTATCTTTTTCCATTTTCCGTCGGTAATCAGTTAATGACATTGCTATACCTCATGCCATATAATTTGTCAACAGAAGTGGAAATTAAATAAGATGAAATTAGATTCAATAAAATAATAAGATTAATGAATTAAAATAACATATTGTTAATCAAAGTGAAACTAGAGAATATAATATTTTCTTTCATGTAACAGCCAAGGACATGTTTTTGAAAGGCAAAATGAGGAAAAACAAGGTCTTTCCTTGTAATAAATAATCAAGTAGCATCAGTTGGGAAGCTGAGTTTGCTCATTGTTCTGGTCATCACTGCTTGCAGATTTTACTTTTGCTTTTGGGAGGTAAACAGCAGAAACTACTCTTACTGTATTTCTCACATATAATGCTCACTGCAACTTCCAGCAGTTGGATTTGGGGAAACGGGTATGTTTTGTATGCAAGAAAAATGTGGTATAAGTCTTTTGGAGAGAATTCTAGGCCAAGTGCTAGTCTCACTGAAACTATTGGAGGATGCTTACTTACATTAATAGGACCAGAATCTGGTTCCCTAAGAGTACATTTGCTAGTAAAATACTAAGAGAAAGTAGAGCCTTAGATCTTAGAAATGGTGGACATCCAGAAATCATTCTTGGCCCAGTTCAGGCAAATGTAGCCTGAACAGCACTAGTGCAGACAACTTGGATGTCAATATGCTGTAGTCACTGGTGACATAAATGATAGAACAAACACATCAGACCTAACCTGGCACTACAAGACTTATGTTTACAAGCTGTTTATTGCTCATAAAACAGCATAACTTGTAAAGCTATTGCATTCAGTTGGAAATGGGCATGCAACATTTACATGCTGGACAGAGAGTCAAGTCTCCTCCAAAGTGTTCTAATCAGAATGCATCAGAGCATGTGTAAAAGTGCCCTGGGGGTGCAATCCAGTAGTCATGCTCAGAGCATTTTTACCGTATACCAACACTGTTGAATCTAACACCCATGGTCACACCTTTCAAGTAATGTGCTGCTACTTAAAGCTATTTCCCAAGAAATGGCAGATCTAAGATCTATACCATCCTTACAAGGTATTCAAATCCACAAGTTTTCTGTTTTAGTGCAATGAGTCTGCAAGTTGGAAGAGAGCCACACGCCATCCCTGATTTTGAATTTGGATCACTGCATAGCCAGGACTGCAAAATTAGGGGCCTAGAAAGAGGACATGTAAGAGGATATATAACAAAGTAGTCTAATAATGAGGATACTCCCTTGGGATGGATGAGCTGATTTCTGGTCCACCCTCCCAAAATATTTTGTTGTATTTTATCCAATAGATGTGTAATGCAAAATTCATCAACCCTGTTAGGACCAGGGCCTAGGATCTAGGACTCCTCTCATGGGAGTTTCATCAACAACAGGGTACAAAATCATTCTCTCTTTATCAAGACAATATATTAGACCTGCCTAGACCTAGGGAAGTATGGAGTTAGGCCTCTAGGCACCTATCTGAAGAGCAGAGGTGACAAAAGTGAATAGAGGCATGGGAAGCACAGTTTATGAGGAAAGGATGAAAAAAAAACTAGAGCTATTTAGTCAAGAGAAGAAAAGACTGCTGGGATTTTATAACAGTCTTCAGATACCTGAAGGGTGATTATAAATAGATTATAAATATTTTTCTGTGGTTGTAGGAGAAAGGATTGGAGTAATGGTCTCAAATTACAGCAAAGTATACTGAGATTGGAAATTAGGAAGAACTTTCTGCTGATGAGGATGGTCAAGCATTGAACAGGCTACCTAGAGAAGTTGAAGACTCTCTCTGTAAATATTCCCTGGAAATATTCAAGAGCAGGTTGGACAGATATTTGACTGGGATGATTTAGTCAAGGATAATCCTGCCTTGAGCAAGTGACTGGATTAGATGAGTTCATGAGGTCCCTTCCAGCTCAACTTTCCTATGATCTGTAATTTAAAAAACCTAAATCTTTAAAAAATCTGTCTCTTGCAGCCTGAATTAATGTCCAGTAACATCATCTAAACACAAGTCATAGCAACTAGTATACATTTACTATCTCAAAGTGCCCTTGATCATAGGCGCACTGAGATACATAGTATTGCTTGATATTCCCCCACCATACTCACCCCCCAATCTCACAATAACTTTAAACCTACAACAATTCAAGTAACTATTTTTTCCCTGTTTTGGAAAGGTTTATCAATGCCCGGCGGCGCATTCTGCAGCCCATGCTTGATGCAAGCAATCCAGATCCAGCTCCCAAAGCCAAGAAGATCAAGTCCCAACATCGGCCTACTCAAAGATTCTGGCCCAACTCCATCGCAGCTGGTGTGCTGCAGCAGCAAGGAGGCAATCCTGGTACTAATCCTGATGGTAAGAATGTGGTGAGGATAAGGCATGAGAATGACTTAGGAAGGACTTAGAGAATTGCTGCCATGGAGAATGAAAGCAGGATCCTTGCATAGTTTACCTCATTATAGCAAGAAATCATCTTAAACTATTGTGGACCAAAAACTGGCTTTGCATTATTTTATCTATAGAAATCTGACATGGGTGATAGTTTAGCAGTGACTGAGAAACCTAGGAGAAACCTCTCCTTGCAAACTGATGGGATCAAAAAGAAAATTTAAACTAATTTCCTGATCCTCATTTGTCACAGTGACTAATAAAATCACAGGCCATGTGCTGTGTCAGCTGATGAACACAAGAAAATGGAGTTGAATCTCTTTTTTCTTATCAATGCTGTTCTCTGTACCTATGCACATATATAACAACATCCATTTGAAGAATGGACACAGGCTGTACCCTGGGCACATACATAGGCGGGTGGCCAACTGGCTTAGGGACCGCACCCAGAGAGTGGTGGTGGATGGTTCCTTCTCGGCCTGGAGGGAGGTGGGCAGTGGGTCCCACAGGGTTCGGTCCTCGGACCAATATTATTTAATATCTTCATCAGTGATTTGAACGAGCGCGTAGAGAGCACCCTCTCCAAGTTCGCTGATGATACCAAGTTATGGGGCAAAGTTAGTACACCAGAGGGCAGGGAGCAGATTCAGGCTGACCTGGACAGGTTAGATCAATGGGCAGAGAGAAATAGGATGCAATTTAATAAAGATAAATGTAAGGTACTCCACCTGGGAAGGAGGAACCCCCAGCACACCTATAGGTTGGGGAGTGTCCTTCTCAGCAGCTCAGAGGCAGAGAGGGATCTTGGAGTCATAATTGACTCCAAGATGAACATAAGCCGGCAGTGTAACGAGGCCATCAACAAGGCCAGTCGCACCTTGTCGTGCATTAGCAGGTGCATGACTAATAGATCAAAGGAGGTGATGCTGCCCCTCTATGTGGCACTGGTCAGGCCACAGTTTTAGTACTGTGTCCAGTTTTGGACACTACACTTCAAAAGGGACGCGGGGAATCTCGAGAGGGTCCAGAGGAGAGCCACTCACATGATTAGTGGCCTTTGTGATAGACCCTACGGGGGGAGGTTGAGAGAGCTGAAGCTCTTCAGCCTTCACAAGAGACGACTGAGGGGAGATCTTGTGGCCGCCTATAAATTTGTTAGGGGAGGTCAACGGGGAATAGGGGAAGCGCTGTTTACTAAGGCGCCCCAGGGAGTGACTAGGAATAACGGGTGTAAAGTAGTTGAGAGTGGATTTAGGTTAGATATTAGGAAGAAATTTTTCACAGTAAGGGTGGCCAGGATCTGGAATGGGCTTCCAAGAGAGGTGGTGCTATCACCTAGCTTGGAGGTCTTCAAGAGGAGGCTGGATAGTCACCTGGCTGGGGGCATCTGACCTCGGTCCTCTTTCCTGCCAGGGGCAGGGGGTCGGACATGATGATCCATTGTGGTCTCTTCCGACTCTACAATCTATGAATAGCCAGGCATGTATGCTTACCCCTTGTGGATGTTCAGTTGTGTCTAAGGCTCAAAAATGTAGTCAACCAAAGCCTATGACTAGAGGGATTTAGACTCAGGAACAGATTAAACAAGTTTTCCCATGTTTTGTCTTCAGTAGCTGAGTGGCTAGAGAAACCATATAGATATAGATATAGATATAGATATAGATATAGATGGGACCAGCAGTGTATGTGGCTCAGGAAAGGGGACCTGGATTCTCTGAGTGAAGCAGAAGTCCTCTCCCCAATGCCCTCCACCCGTGTTTTTTAAAATTACTATTAAATGCAAGGGGCAATAGCTAAGCTTCAGCATCTTAAGTGCAAGTTTATTTCACTTCTTTGCAGATTTGAATTTCACTTATGCAGCTTCGTGATTCACCACTAAGGATGGTCTGTCCCAGTGATGGCTCTCAAAACTGCTATACTTGTCACATGCTCCACTCCTAATATACAGAATTAAAAACATTGTAGCGGACCAAAGCACCACAGTGACACAGATTGCCCCTCCTTGCCATGGAAGTTGTGGTTCTCAAGAGTTAGTATGCATGCATATGATGCATGCATATGATGCCACCAGTAAAACTACCTCAACCCAGAGACTTTCTGATACAAGGGCATAGTTATATGTTAATTGTAGGTAGCTTCTGGAGCTCTTAACCCCTGAATTATTTGCACATTAACACCTGAAACTAGTTTTAAGCACACTTTAGGAGGTTTAAGATTACACCACTCCAGGGCAGGTTTATTTATGAGCTGTGTTACACAGCTCATGTTTCATTAATATGTGGCCACTCCCCAAGATGAGCTGCTCTAGCTGCAGTCCTCCAGCATCCGAGGATGCAGTATCCCCTTCTATCCCCCCCCATGTTCTGTGTGGATAAACTTTCCACCCTCTGAACCTCTACTGCCTGGGGGTGGGGGGTAGTGGCACCAAACCAACTCCCCCTCCCTCTCCCACTCCCAGTGGTGTGACCTTCCCACCCCCAGGGTGCCACCATGCACAAACAGCCTGCAAAGCACATGCCAACTAGCCAGGTCACAGGACATGGATGGGTCTGGAAGTGTGTATAGTGGGTATGGGGAGAACAAGGTAGGGAGCCACATTGTGTCCTCATGAGTTAAAGCTTCCTTCCTGGGGCAGGGGCAGTTACTCCCCAAAAAGCAACTTCCCTTACTGTTCCCAGCAAGCGCAACCAATGCCCCCACCAAAACCCCAATCCCAATTAATTAAAACATGAGGTCTTCTTTAATTAACTACTTCTTTATTTATTTTTAAAGTCTTCTCTTCTTTCTTCTTTTTATTTTATTCTTCAGTGGCTGACTGCCCTTATTTCATCCCCCATCCCCATTTCCTTTCCACTTCCCATTTCATTACCCACCCCCATACCATTAACTCTCTGCCTTCCCGCTTCATGTTCCTAACTGTCCCCCAATCCATCTCTCTCACACCTCCACCTAGAGCATGGATATAAGCCTGCTCTGGATCACTAGATGTCTAGTGGAAAATCACAGCTGTGCAGGTAAGGGATAGTCTTCCTGCCCCTGGGGCAGGGGACTGGACTCAATGATCTTCTGAGGTCCCTTCTAGCTCTAGTGTCTATGAATCTACAAGTCAAGGAAGGTTTTTAGCCTTAAGGTGTGACCAGTCCAAACTGAAGCTAGCATTACCACCAGTCATCGTTTGAGCAGCTCCAAGTGCAACATGTAACAAGGTCCTAATACCTAAATCCAAAGTGTTTATGACTAGAAGTTCAAGGGAAAGAATCAAGCTCCCTTGAATACTCTGAAAAAATATACTGACATCTCCTGTCCTTTCACCCCTAGCTGCTGACAGGCAAAACTCATGACATGGGTGCTTGTGGGACTGACTATCTCAGTCTTGGGGCAGTTGATTGTCTGTATTATTTCCTCTCCATAGTGTGGGGTTTTGTAGGTGTTAATTATTGCTAATTAACTGGCTACATTAGCTAGCAACTGTGTATTGAGCTGGTCCCTGAGTGAATCTTGATTGATTGGTAACTAGTAACACAGTAGCTTAGCAGCCAGGCCTGCAGTAGTTCCCCCCAAGACAGACACAGTTGCACAAGCACCCATGTCATGAGTTTTGCCTGTCAGCAGCTAGGGGTGAAAGGACAGGAGATGTCAGTATATTTGCTCCACAACAGCTGGAAGGCTTTGTGGCTGCAGCAGGGGCTACCATCCCTGCAACTTTCACCGTGCTGCGGCTGAACACACCCAGTGTCACCCATGTCACAAGTTTTGCTTGTCCGCAGCTTGAGGTGCAGTTCCCCCTGCACTTATCTCCTTGAAACTTGGCAGGCTTAGTGGCCTTACCAAGGGTCACCATCCCTGCAGTTTTCAGCCCATTGTGCCTTAACACACACAGGGTCATCTATGTCATGAGTTTTGCCTGTCAGCAGCTAGAGGTGCAGGGCCCCAGAACCCCTGCATTGATCTTCTTGAAACTTGGCAGGCTTCATGGCCTCACCAGGGGCTACCACCTTTGCAGTTTTCACCCTCCTGTGTTGTAACACATAGATGTAAACATGAGTTTTGCTATCAAGAATCTGGGGCACAGTTCCCCCTGAATCCCAGCACCAATCTTCTTGAATCTTGGCAGACTTCATGCTCTCAGCAGAGGCTACCACCTTGGCAAATTTAATCCAAATTAGACAAAAAACAACAAAGTTATAGATATTTCATTGATTCCTCATTATAACCTCTGGCCAGATCTCTGAAGCAGCTCCGAAGCTTTTCTGAAGTGCTTTGGAAGCTCTGAACTGTTTCAGAAAGCCTAACAAAGCCGGCACTTCTATCCAGACATGCTGCTTTGGATGCTGAAGCATCCGAAGCTTCTCCAGATCCGAAGCACAGTCCGAAGCCTTGCATAGCCCTACTATACACGTGTAGTGAGGCTGCTTGCTTTGATGCATTGTAATTACAGTGCATCAGAGCAGGCAAGATTAATCGAGTCTCCTGGAGTAATTACCACACTCCAGCAGACTCCAGTGTGATGTGTATCAGTGTCCCTGCACTGAAAAATAATGGCAGAGATGCTTTAACTAAAGCTAAATCAACTAACTAAACAAGCTAAATTAACTAAAGCTTGTATTCTCAGAGCCACGGTAATTAAAATCTCCTCCCCCCGCCCCTCCCACTCCACCAAGCACATGTATAAATGCCTTACATCTTTGAAATTCTAATTTCAAAAGAATAATTTTAAAATTGGTCCATTAAACTGAACTACTGTATGCCATCAGGGATACAGGGGTTTTTTGAACTGTTGAAGAGCTCATAGCAAAAGGTTCTACCATCCCTCATGTAGTTCTGCTGTCTTTCTGCCCATTTCCAAACCACTCAAAGAAGATTAAGTAGCTCACCTTGTGTGCATCCAGATGAGTGCAGCCATGCAATATGTGGCACTGCAAAAAGAGGTACCTGCACCTTTGAGCCAGATACCAGTGGGCTGTGGC